ACCAGGTTAGACCTAGGTCGCCAAAGCTGGATGGGAATAGGATACACATCAGGGCTTCATTCCACCAGTACACTGCCATAACCTGGCGAAAGTGGCTCAAGTGCATGTAGGGGTCTGTCTTCCCCTCATAAGTAGTGAATTTGGACTGGTGGAAGCCTGAAGGTAGTGGTGCGTTCTCTATTTTCGGAATGAACGGCGAGCTCTATAACCTTGCTAATACTTTGTCCGCTGGTTTGTAAATAAGGCACGGCATTGGCATTCCTACCTCGACACTCCCATGTGTCCGGGGGGCCAATTGTTGTAGTGCTGAAACTCTACGTGGATCGCGAGCCCTAGTGTCCTCCTTCCAGCGGGCCCTTTCTTCTAGTACTGTTCGCAAGTCAGACGATCTAGGCAACTCTGTGTGCCTAGATGTCGTCTGGTGTGTGTTCGAGGGCCAATATGTACTTCCCTCAGTACACGACCTCTTAGTTCTCGTTCTCTCAGACCTGGAGCAATGAGTCCTGGAAGTCCTTGATTGCGTATCGCCTATTCTAAGGCTTCTACTTTCTATTTGTGATGGTGTGGTATGCCTATCACGATTCTCCGAGTGGCGAGGGGCGTGTGTTGCCTTTACGCCCTTCTCCTGTCGCTATCCCTTTCCGTTTTATCTAGCACTTCATTAACTCCATGTCTACTGCCATCCTCTTTATTAACTCGTCCTGCTCCCTCATACGATCCTCCAGAACTTGAGGATCTAGCCTTCGCCTCTGTCTATCAGGACTTTGAGAGCTATGGGGGCTGCCGCCCCATCTCCCCCTTGCATCCCTCCGGTGGTTCTGTCACTGGGGTTCTAAATTCGCCATGAGAGGGATAGAAGGCAAACCTTCGTGCCTCCCACCCCCCTCTGGGGTTTGCCCATCGACAGCCGATTGCGGCAAGTCTTCATTGTGCGCCATTGCTTCTAACTAGAGAGGAAAGCTTGATCAAGAGGTTTTGTTCTTTGTGGAGTTTCCCACAGATGGCGCCAATTGTACGAGCACGAAATAATCTTCTCGTATAATCCTGTTGATCAAGTTTGCACTCCTCCTTTACGTCGTCGCTTTACTCCCTGAAACACAAACGTGAGCTAGTCAACGGGTGTGTGCCGGATATTTCTCCGATGCCTAAGTCAGCAAAATAGATAAATAGATAAAAGCTCTGTGTAATCGAGAATCAAAGTTGTGATACATGTACATAGGTTCTGTTGTGAGCTTTTATAGTTTTTGCCTGGCACAATCCTACTAGGACTCTTGTTCCTCAATGTGGAGTCCTCTTAGGAATCACACTCTTGAAAGATAATGCTTATCCTTCAACACCCTCCTCACTGCTTAAAGTAAGTGAGATGCTTTTACCACGGTTCGATAACAGTATGGCCGAGCTAACACTAGCCCTTTGTCATACTTAATCTAGCGCCTACATCTGCAACACATAGCTCGACTCTTGTTCACTTGTACCTCGGTTTTGTCTGTTTAGATCGAGCTAACTACAACAAGCTTTGACCGAGCTAATAAGGGCAAGGTCCACCTTAAGAAGCCCAAACACCTCAGCCCATACCTCGGTCCGAACTTCATCTGGCCCAACTTCGTTAGTTTTTATACCGAGCTACAGCAACTCTTATCTCGGTCCAACGTGTGGCCTAACTTCCAAAGAAGCCTTTAGCTCGACCCAATTTACTTATAAATTACCCTCTGATCCGTTGTCTACCCCTTTCAAAGAATCCCATTTTTCTTCCATTAAGGATGATCCGCTCTCAACCCCATTTTTTTCATCTTGTGTACAAAAAGTACCCTATTTGGAGTTAGAACCTTTACCTTCAGGTAATACTGATGAGTTTTTAGATAGGGTCAAGACTATCTCCATGGATACTTCTCCACCTAAGAATCTAGTGTCTGAGAAAATAATGAGTGAGTTGAGTGGATTTGACAATGATTTGGACTGGGATTTGATGATTGGCGATGATCTTTTGATCTCTGTTCATAGGATCTGTTTACATGATTTTCTACTAAAAGACACAAACCCTTTATTTGCATATATTACTCATGTTCTATTAAAATATGATTTTGTAAATCACTTTTGTCTACTTTTGGACAGGTTAAATAATTTCTGCCGAGTTGACCCATATCTCATAAATTATAAGAAGCCAAAAAAGTGGAATGCACCCAGGTAAAATAGATTAGTTCATTTTGTTTTGTATTGTTTTATAATTTTGTGTGTTTTTAGTATTGTGTGTCTGGACAAAATAGATAAGTACACATTTTAAGGGAATCGTTGAGTAAGAACAAAGAAATTTGGTTTGAGACGGGTTACTTAGCGGAAGATAAAATTTTCAGCCCTAAAATGTCTTGGAATCTGACTATAAAAGGCTAATTTTTTTTTTTAATTTGTGTTTTCCTTGCTAGTCCTTTGTGACATGTTCCATTGAGAACAATGTCATTTAAGTTTGGGGAAAGGGTTTTGCGTTTTATTTTGTGTATTTATTTTTATTTTTACTTTCAGTAATGTTTTGAAAAAAAAAATTCAAAAAAAAATTTATTTGTTGTTATCGTGTTTAGAAAATAAAAATAAAAATCATAAATTTTTCTTTGTGTGCCGTTGTGTGTGGTTTTGTTTTTGTTTAAAAAATAAATGTTTTTGTTTGTGTGCTGTTGTGTGTTGTTAAAAAAAAATGTTTTATTTTGTGGGTGTTGTGTTAAAAAAATATAATAAAAAAAAATCATGTGATTAATTGTTAATTTTGTTGCTTTAGCATTTTTATTATATCTTAGTTTATTATACTATCTTTTGATTAAAAATAATTATTTGTCTCATATTTGGATGATCAGCACGTACACATAGCCGCTTAAATATTATTTGATTAATTCTTAGACTTAGACTAGAATATCTTGATGACTAATGTGGAGACTTTATACCCATATGAGATTTTGAGCCTATCATTCTTTTTAACTATTCATTTGGAAGCGCACTATTTCATTGTTCAGTCTCACATTTTTCATTTTGGTTGAATGTTGAGAAATCATGTTGCATTTACACCCTCTAAAAATCATGAAAGTTGAAAAATTGTGCCAAATTCTGAGAAATGATTTAGGCTACTTTTGTATTATTTGAGCTTTAACATTTTTTTCTACACTAAAAAATCCTTAGAAACCAATTTGAGCCTATATGCCAAACCTTTCATTCAATAAACCCCTTGGTGATAACTGACCTCTTCAGGAGCAAAATGATGAAGGAATTGATAAGGAAGAGGATAGAGAATAAACAACAACAACAACAACAACAAAAATAAAAAATACAATAAAAATAAAAAATGAAGAAGAAGAAGAAGAAGAAGAAGAAGAAGAAGAAGAAGAAAAGGAAAAAAGAAAAAAAAAAAAGATGTAAGATTATGGAAATAAGTCTATACTGATACATATTGTTGAAGAAAGAGAATGTTGAAAGCATGATATAATAATTTTGACTACTCTCTTACACTCAAAAGGAGATATTGATTCTTACCCATTTTTTTTACCTATCCCTAACCCTGTTTGACTAACTTAATAAAAGTCCTATTTGATCCCAAAGTTGGTACAATTTAGATACAGACATGATGGATAGAGGTGTTAGTGTAAATTTTCAACATTTAGCATTCTTTTGAAGAGATTGTATTCTTTCATGCTAGCGTCTTTCATCACTTATATGCGAGATATTTTAATTTGTTTATATTAATTTCACTCGCATATGTTAAGAGTACACAAATTTGCACCATATCTAATGATTCATTTGTTAAGTGCAATATTTGTGATATTGGAGTCGAAACATGCTTATGATAGAACTAGAGTCTTATTTCATTTAGAGATTAACTAATATTTTTGTCGGCTATAATTTGCACAACACCGAATGTAGAGAGAGACAAATTATTTTTACTAATTGGTAGCATTTTGAACTCTGATAATTCTTTTGCTAATATATTAAAATTAACAATTATCTCTATGAATATTTTCTTAAAATTTTTTTTTTGAATTTTGTGAGTATATTCACTGTAAACCCTCATGAGATTGCAACTCGTCCACTAAGGGTAACTTATGGGCTCCAAGGCTAGTTGCATACGATAAATGCAATTGTGTTTCCTATGAAAATGACATAGATAAGTTTTATTTTATTTTATTTTTAGTTTTATTTTGCTTGAGGACTAGCAAAGTGTAAGTTGTAGGGTGTGATCAGGACTCCACTTGATTTGACATTGATGCATTAGGAAGTTGCCCACAGAAGGCAACAAGGTTCTGCCAGATTTTGGGGTCGAGGAAAAGAGGAGCAGAGCTTGCAGGATAGCTCCAGCTCCAGGCAAGGGCCAAGAGTTTATTTTGTAAATATTGAAGCTCTGACTAAATAATTGAGGTAAATTGTATTTAGTATTTTTAGTTTAGATTTGATTTAGATATAGTTATATAACTCTCAGATCTTTTGTATAATAAATGTTTTATTCAAATCATCTTATACAATGGTTTTCACTGCTGTGTATTAGAATTGTTAAACAAGTCATACTTAGTAAAACAGGTTGTACATCAAACTGTAGTTTAGTGGTGACGATCTATGCTAAGCAAAGATGATTCATGCATTTCTGGTTTTGATATACAAATCCTATTAACGATATATTTCTGATCAATTTACATCACAGTATCCAAATCAATGTTTTTTTTAAGGAGTACAATTACTCTTAATTATGAGGTTAGTGGTGGATTTGAAATTCTAAGATATTTATTTCATCTTGTTTAATTAATTGCTTATTTTAGTAATTTAATTTTCTTTCCAAAAATTCATAACACTTTATTTTAAATTTCTAAATTAAATTATTCATCATTATATATTATATTATATTTATTATAAAATAAAATAAAATAAAAAAAGGAAAAAGAAAAGCAACGCATAATTGTTGTTGCTTTGCTTTGTAGGACTTCACTTTTCTTTCCTTTTTTATATTCTTTGTTACTTTGCTTTGCTGGACTCCACTTGATTTGGTTGGCACATGAGATAATGATGCATTAGGAAGTTGCCTACGGAAGGCAACAAGGTTCAGCCAGAGTTTGGGGGTGAGGAAAAGAGGAGCAGAGCTTGTGGGAGAGCTCCAGCTCCAGGCAAAGGCCAAGAGTGTTTATTTTGTAAATATTGAAGCCCTGACTAAATAATTGGGGTAAGTCATATTTAATATTTTTAGTTTTGATTTGATTTGGATACACTTATATAACTTTCAGATCTTTTGTGTAATAAATATTTTATTCAAATCATCTTATACAATGATTTTCACTACGATATATTAGAATTGTTAGACGAGTCATACCTAATAAGACAGGCCGTGCATCAAACTATAGTTAGTGGTGATGGTTTATGCTATGCGAAGATGATTCATGCATTTCTAGTTTTGATATACAAATCTTCTTGACGATGTATTTCTGATTAACTTACATGACATTATCGAAATCAATGATTTTCTAAGGATTGAGTACAATTACTCTTAATTATGAAGTTAGTGGTAGATTTGAAATTCTAAGATATTTATCTCATCGTGTTTAATTAATTGCTTATTTTAGTAATTTAATTTTCATTCCAAAAATTCAAAACACTTTATTTAAAATTTCTAAATTAAATTATTGATCATTAGTCCATATGGATCAACACGTAGTCTTAACCGCTATTCTATAGAGTAATTGTTTTTAAATAAAATATTTTGGTGTACAAACAACAGCATCAATATATAATATTTACACACCACACTGTATTTGAGTACAAATCATTTATGTTGGTCAAATATCAACTGCAGAAGAACAAAAATAGATGTTTAGAAAGTGATTTTGTAGCAATCAATCTAACTGTGTCTGACCGCAGTTTCTGTCACACAGAGTTTAACCAAAAATGGGTAGCTATAACATACTACGAGATAAAAAAACCATTATGTATAGTATAAAAAAAAATAAAAAAAATAAAAAGGGCTGTGCATCCAAACAAGATCTGATGACAAAAATGGATATTTTACCTTCTTTTAAGGGATGGGTTTAAATTTAAATTTGGCTAAAGAAAATGGAAAATGAAGAGGCATATTTGGCTTGCTCATTCAAATGTGTTAATGAATGTAGAGCATGTTTGATTGAGTGGATTAGAGCATGGGATTGGGATTATTAATCCGTGGGTCCAATTATCCTATGTTTGTTTTAACATTTTGATTTAGGATTATTAATCCAATGGATAATTAATCCAACAAATTTGTAGGATTATTAGTAATGGGGTAGGGGTGGGATTATTAATCCAATGGATATTAATCCAATTGGATAGTGAATACCACACTAATTTAATAGGATTATTAATACTTCACTATTAATCTTGTGAATCAAACATGACCGTAAGGTATATCTACCACCAGATTCTTTTAATTTTGCCTGGGGAAAGTTCCAAGTTCCATGTATTTATACCTCTCTCTGTGTGTTTTGTCTCTGTGCCATTTTGTAGAATTTGGCTGTGTACTCTGGGCTTTGTTGGTTCTGTTGTTCTAGTTTTGTAATCTTCTCCCAGGTCTGTACTTTCTGTGCTTGGCATTTTTCATTGTACTCCTTTATCTGATATTTTAACGAAGTTCTGTGCTTTGAACTAAAAAATAAAAATAATTTTCTGCTACATTCATACATTAATTAATTACTGGTGTTTGGGTACTTAGCAGATTCAGATAGATTCATAGAGAGAGTTTATGAGATGAGTTTTCTCTCCCAAAAAATTGAAAGAAGTGAGCTTGTAGCTGGTGATCATATCTACACTTGGAGAGCTGCTTTCACTTATTCCCACCATGGTCAGTGATTTAAAAAAACTACTCTCTCTCTCTCTCTCTGTGCTGGCATTGCATCATGGGTATCTGCTATGTTTTAAGTAAGGCAATTCTCGAGATATCTAATATTCTTTATTGATTTCAACTTCAACATACCTCAATTCTTTATTGATTTTAAGGCAATTCTTCCACACCTCATTCAAATTTATCAAAAAAATTCGGACATTGATAGAACTTCAAATCACCTAACTTTTCATTTCCAACAAAATTACTGATAACCATCCAAGATCACAACTTAGGCAAAGTTTAATCTCCTACAAGGGTTGATTTCATTTTTAGCTAGTCTTGGTTAGAAATTTGGGAAGTGGCATCTGCTATGTCTGAAGATATAAATAGTATAGTATCTTATAAATTATAATATCAGTAAAGACAGTAAAATTTGTGAATGCAGGCATCTATATTGGAGAAAGCAAAGTCGTTCATTTTGCAGGCACATTTGGCAGCTCCTCTAATCCCTTTAAATGGTCTTCTTTCGGATTCAGTGCTTCAACTTCGAACCCATTATCAGCCTGTCCAAATTTTCCTAACTGTGGATTTCGACATCCTAACAGTGGGGTGGTGCTCTCTTGCTTGGACTGTTTCCTTGCTAATGGGTCCTTGTATCGCTTCGAGTATGGAGTCTCTAAAGCCAAGCTCCTATTCAAACTCAGAGGTGGCACGTGCACCACTGCAGAATCAGACCCGCCAGAACTAGTGATCCACAAGGCCATGTATCTGCTTCAACATGGATTCGGGGGCTACAATGTTATGCGTAATAACTCTGAGCATTTTGCAATGTACTGCAAAACTGGACTTGTATGCATTATTGGCGGGAGTGGTCAAGCTTTTGTGTTTCAGGTTCCATTCTTGGCATCTGGTACTTGCAAAGTCATGAAATGGCTAGCTTCTGGAGCTGGTATGGGTACGACCATAGCACTATCAACTGGGACATATTTTATGAGCAGGTATTGCAATGATTTAGGCATTCGAGTGGATGTTATGAAGGTCCCAGTGTTGGTCCTCGCTTTAATTCATGATTCAGCAAAACAGTCCTCTTTCAGAGCCAGTCAAACTTCCGATCCAAGTCCCAAAGAATTTACAAAATCAGATGTGCAACTACCCAAAATCGATGAGATTATAAAGGAATTAGAACAACCAACCAACTTTGAATGTGAAAATGATCTTGTCAGAATGGATAATACTCTAACATCTCGCGTTCTGGCCATAAAGAAAAACTTTGTGAAGAAATTGGTTGACATGGATCCCCTTTGCACCAAAAGAAATGATTGAACTTGCTAACTCTTTTCTGAAGTTTTTTTCCCAGTTTCCATTCGATGTTGGTTCTTTGTACTTCTTGGTGAAGGACTTTATTGTTCAAGCTTATGAACTAGCATGTGCGAGACAAGAACTGAATTTGTGCTGTTCAGATTTCAACGGCACTCAATTGTTGCAGAAAACTTCTGATTGTATTCAAGTTTTGACTGAAGAGCGCAATCGCCTTGAGCTTTTATGGTTGGAAGTGAAGAAAGGGTTAAAAGCCATTGACGATGAAATTGAGCCATTGAGATCTCGGCTTCCAGTTCTGGAGGGGGAGAGGGAATCCAAAGGTGCTTATTTTCGTAACATCAAGAGTAATTTGGAACAAACCTCGAAGAAGCTTTCAGATGCCTCTAATCTCATGGATGGGCTCGAGTTGGCATCATTATCTAATTCTTTGGAGCAATCTGCACGACTTGCTGACTTAGAAGCAGCTTTGGGAGATGCCAGAGCCCGACTTCTTTCTTAGAGTCCTATCCTTTTCTCTCTTTATTACCCGTAGCTGAACCATAGCTGGGTAGCTTTTGACAGTTTGATAAGTTCAGTAATTTAGTAGTATGATCTTGTAGTGAGGTGATGTGGGAATCCCCTCTTTATTCAGTAAACAAATATTTTTTTTTTAAACTTTTACGTCTTTTTTAATGCTCTTTCTAGTAAAATTGTCTAATCTTCTCTGCTTCAAGTTTGGGGGTCTCGTCAATCTGTTAATACTTTCCCTGATTCTGGATTTCGACAAAAAGGCACATTAAGGATGACAATAATCAATCTTCTAAACGACAAAGAGATTTGGATTAGTGGTCATTGTCTCTTGCTTGGCACTTATAAACACATCATTCTTAGGCTTAAAAAGAATGTCTTCTAACTGAGATTATGTGATATTAAATAGTTTGCTACAAATTTGTATGCTTTTTTCTTTTTGTATCTTAAAAAAATTGGAATTTGCCTCAGGAAAATGGTTGCATAGGCTCATGTGTGGTCAAGGTCTTCCAAGTATTCATACCGTCTCTTAGTCCCTTCAACTACGTCTATGCTATCTACTAGAGGTTGTCTAGAGCAGATTCATAGAGAGTTTATGAGAGAGAGAGAGAGGTTTTGCAAAGAATTGAAAGAAGTTAGCCGTTGTGAAAATTTTAAACAACAAAACATAATCCATATGTTTTGGAAAATTTAAATATCATGTACGCAATCTTGTGTTCAATCTTATGATTCAGGCTCTTCTCTTACAGAGAAACTGTGGCATCCATGACCGTAAAGTGAATATATAAAATATAAAATTTGTGCACGCAGGCAATGATATTTGCAGAATGCCTAGTTGTTCATTTTACTCCGTGGATTTCATCAACCTGAGTGAGGGTACTGATCTTCATCCACAGGGCCATCATGTCATACAGAATAATTGTGAGCATTTCTCGCAATGTACTGCAAAACTGGTCTTGTATTAAGCAAGGCAGTGATCAAGCTTCTGCCGTTCATGGTCTATAAATCTTCACAGTTGGGACTTTGTATACCCTTTTAAGCCAGGGTCAGATTGTTTGGCAAAAACAGAAGCCACAGTAATTGGGTCATAGTATTTCATAAGCCAGGAGACAGGTCATTGAGGAGACCATCTTCCATGAACCCTAATTAATTTGTATGAGTTTGCCCCGATTCTTAAAATTACGACAAGAAACAAAATCCCACTGTAGCATAGATCAATCAATAATAAATGCACTAATAGTTTCTTTTGAAATAATTTTTTAGGACAATATATTTATTTAAAACAAATTCTTTACTCGGATCATTTGTTCACTTGTATCTGCAGCACAAGAGATCTGACATCCACATGTTAGGCATAGGCAAGAATGTTCTCTCATTGTGTCATTTACTAAATCAGTTTGAAATATAATCAAGTCAACACAAAACATCCGACTAGTGGGGTTCAATCTCAGACTACTCGAATGAATTTAAGCTTACAAATTCAAGTTTGTGCAAGAGATGTTGCCACTCAAGAGTTGAACTCCACCAAAAGACTGGCCCGTGGATGCAATCCTGCTTCTTTCAGGGACATAAAGAGCTTCTCTGGGCCATGGACAACACGGGGAAAATTGGAGACAAGACTGTAACTTTCGACTTCTAAGCAACCCAACAAATCAACGTAGTCATATAGAGACTGAATTGTTGCAGTACTTTGGAACCTTCTTCCCTTTTGCGCTCTCCAGTTGGGAACCGCACCAAAACCTAAATGGTCCAAAATATCACCAAAAAAAAATGTATCAGATTGACAGCAATTTAATTTAATTTCATGCTATTTTGTGATGAGTGAAATAGTTCTAAAGAGGAGCACAAAATGTAATTACAAACAAAAAAATGGGCATTACTTGAGTAACATCAGGTCCTTTCAGGTTCAGCTGCAAGTGAAAGGGCTTTCTCCTCCCGCATTCTAGCTAATGCAGCTTCTTTCTCAGCAGCTTCATGTGCCGCTCTTTCACGAGCCTCTTCTTCTTCCTTCTGCTTCCTTTCAGCTTCAGCAGCTTCCCTTGCCAGCCGTTCTTGCTCTTCTTTCCTCTGGCGTTCCCTAGCCTGAGATGGGTAGAGAAACCTCATCAAGACCATGTGGCATCACAATATGCTAATATTTCATTATAAAGCATAAGCTCTGGGGACTGAGAAAGGGATAAAGAAAATAAGAAGTTGAATAATTTGACATACTTGATCTGCTTCAAGTGCTACTCGATAAGCAGCATCTTGTTCCTCCCTCAAACGCACGTTAGTTCTTCTTTCTTCTGCATCAAGCCTCGCGGCAACAAGAACATGGGCACTTTTTTCAAGCACTCTCTGAAATATTGTCAGCATCTCCTCAGGAGATTTGGGCCCTCAACCTGCATGATCAGAGGAAGAAAATAATTAAAAACAATAAAACTACTGACTTTCTGCCTTCAAGACGATATCTAAAGCAAGCTTGTGATTATACTGCTGTTGTCAGTGTGTGTGTATGCGCGCGTGCGTGTATATGTGTGTGCGCGCGCGAGAGAGAGAGAGAGAGAGAGAGAGAGAGAGAGATTTAAACCAAAGAGTTTATTTATTAACACATTAATAAGACTGAAGGTCAATTTTGAGGGAAGTCCATCATAATATTTTGTTGTTATAAGCAGGACAGTTGTTTTTCCCTTTGCTGATAATAACCTGACTTAAAATGGAAAAGGGCAGGTCTTTCTACGAAGCACAAACGCATCTAAAAGGGTGTTGTTGGTAGGGAAAATATAAGATTTCTCACAAGTAAATCAATTAATGAGAATAAAAATTAATGTGCAAAAATTAAATAAAAAACAATACAAGAATTTTTATGTGGTTCCCTCAATGTGAGGTACGTTCACGGGATCGAAATCCGATTCCACTAACAACCAAATAAGTTTCCAAACGATTACAAACGAGACACGAATGGTCTCACAAACCACCCTTAGGTGAATTCCAAATAATCACAAATAATTAAGAGGAAAGACCTCACTAAATAGATGAACAAAAATCTTCAAATCAAAGTTGTAGAAGACCCAAAATAATTAACCCAAATCAGCTGAATCCAAAGCAGCCAACCGAAGATCTACTAACACAATATTTGAAAGCACCAAAGAAATATTCTAAGCAACACATGGAAGAAAAGCACTCCCACTAAATTTGATCACCAAGATGCTGTTGCTCTATATCCCACGGGACAAACAAAACAATATTGTATATATTGTTAAATCTTGGGTTTGTTTTATCAAAATCCTAGTTGTATCCAAATTGAATTCGGTATCCACAAATTAGATATAATATATAAAAATATATTATAACTAATACCAAACCAAATTAAACTCTTTTAATAAACCAATTGGTTCCCACATTCCAATAAGGAGGTATACCCAACAATTCTCCGCCTACCGACTTAGGTGGAGATATCAACCATACCCGCCAAAGTTCGACACTTCACATGTTTGTCCCTCGACAAAGTCGTTATCAACATATCTAAAATGTTATCATCTGTATGAACCTTTTCGAGTTGCAACAACTTCGAATCTAACACATTACGAATCCAATGGTATCTCACATCAATGTGTTTCGATCTCGAATGAAAAGTAGAATTTTTACTCAAGTGAATAGCACTTTGACTATCACAATAAAGCACATACTTTTCTTGCTTCAAAACCAACTCTTGCAAAAATTTCTTCAGCCATAACTCTTCTTTGCAAGCTTCCGTAATGGCAATAAATTCAGCTTGGGTAGTTGAGAGAGCAACACATTTTTGTAATTTAGATTGCCATGCCACAGCTCCTCTTGCAAAAGTCATCAAATACCCCGAAGTAAATTTCTTAGAATCAATATCACCAGCCATGTCAGAATCTGTGAACCCATCAAGCATCAGCTTACCATCCCCAAAACACAAACACACCTTCAAATCCCTCGAAGATATCTTAAAATCCATTTTACCGTTACCCAATGTTCTTTAGCCGGATTAGAGAGAAAACGACTCACCACACCTGTAATAACCCTCACCACTGATCACTGATAACACTACTGATTACTGCTAAACTGAGACTGAACATGATTAGTAATTGAACTGATTGAATTACTGAACTGATTGACTGAGTATGTTAGTTAAAATTGCATTTCTATCTGTTTGACTGTTTAATTATCTGTTCATGTTTTATGCTTTAAACTGCAAATTGAAGGCCTTATCAGTGGCCGAATCCGAAATTGATTGATGATTTATGATCATTAGAATTTATGTGATTTTATGGTGTATTTATCCGAAATGTGATTTGGTATGTTTAAATTAGATTAAACGTTGATAAATTGCACCAATTGACTTAATTCACCAAAATGCCACACTAGTGGCCCACTATCTAAACATATTTGAGCCTTCTTCAAACATACTTCTTCAGCCATTTTGAGTCCCATTGCCGACTAGAGAGAGAGAGAGTAAGAGGAAAAGAGTGATTTCAATTTGCTTCATCTTGTATTGCTTGAAAATTGAGAAGAGTGGAGGAGTTTGGGATCAATTGAGCTTCTAGACTTGTATTTGAGAATCTAGGTAAGGAATTTATCCTTTTAATTATGTATTCAAGTTTGTTCTTGCATGATTCATGAGTCTCTAGTGATTTAAGTCTAGAATTGGTCCTATTATGTTGAACTGAAGCTTAATCTTTGCATGCATGGCATACTCTTGCATTTTGAAGTTGTTCTTCATAAATTTGGTACATGCATGCTCATATTTTTGCATTGGACCATGAACTCATCTTGGTTTTGAAGGAATTGACTCATTTGAGCAAGTAATTAAAGCTTTGTATTGGTTTAAACTCATGCATATCATGTTTGAGCTTTGTTCATGAAAATTGGTTTGAAATTGGGTTTAATTCCCTCACCTTTGGGCCTTGATTTTACAAATTGAGCTTTGAATCATGTCATACTATGTATTTACAAGTGTTTTCCAGGAAATGGGCCCAAAGGAATCAAATTTGTTACATTGAAGTTGAATTTGAGCTTGAGGTTCAAATCTTGGAATTCCAGATTTTGAACCTACGCTCGAGCGGGGTTATTGGCGCTCGAGCATGAAATTCGTGCTCCCAGCACTTTGCACTGTTTTGAAGTCCGCTCGAGCAGGGTAATTTACGCTCGAGCGGGACCTTGTGTCACACGATCGAGCGGGTGTCGAGCGTCCAATCGAGCGTGATTTTCATACATCCAGCACTTTTGACTGTTTTGTAGTAC